GATAAAGTGGAAAAATTACATCTGAACAGCAGTTCTTTGAGAAGTAAATCGGCATGAAAAGTCGTTCACAGGTTGCTTTTCAATCGGCAGACTGAGAATTAATTCAACGATAAAGCGAAAGAGAACAATATTGTTGTAGTTTATCGTTGCATGAAGTTGACAGGAATGGAAATTATGGAATCCGTTTATTTTGCCGCGTGTAACTTCAAAACAACTGATAAGAATGGACTGAACTTGCTAATATTTCAGCGGGTTTGCAAGAATTTCCAAATGGAATAAAGGTTAGTTTCAGAAAATCTGTCTAAGAAATTTATTATCGAGTTATTTTACGTAGTTTGAAGTTCACGAAGCTGTGATTCTCGGGATCGTTTTCAGTTCACTTTTACTTGGTTTCCCCTTGATCGTTTTGGCCTGTTGTTATTGTAAAAAACAAATGGACGTCAGTTTTTAATGCGTCTGTCCTGTTATTGATCATGAATTTCGTCATAACATTGTCAAAGTAGTCTGCGGATCCACTCGGCTTCGCCTCGTGGATCCACAGCTACTTTGACAATGTTATGACGCAATTCATGATCAATAACAGGACAGACGCATAAAAAACTGACGTCAATTTGTTAACTTGACACCTCGCAGTTTTGAACAAATTTTAAAATAAAACGATAACACTAAATAGCTACGCAAATTCTAAATAACCAAACGTAGAAAAGCTGTGGGTGGTAAAAAAGTCCAAAAAGCAAGGTTTTTCATTGAGTTTTTCCGTCGAAAAATTCGCGCCAAACCCGCGCTTTGGAGGGTTCGCCAGGCGGGCGTCTAAAAAAGCTGTTGAGCATTTTGTTACGGATAAATTTGCTTATTTACACACGAGAATAGGTTAAAGCATTCACTATTTACCTGTTAAGCGAAGAATGTAGTTGATAGCTGTAATTTTGAGGTCCAAAACTGACTTTTCCCCCGACGCTTTCTTGAAGACAGCTCCACATTCATTGAAGATGCTGACGCCATAATACCCAGAATGCATCAGTCGGTAATCATGAGAACGAGGCGAGCGAGAAAGCTCTGGGAAAACAATCGAACGTTTGATCGATCGGCGGGTTCTAGCGGGTTATTTTTGTGTTTATATTCATTATACCTGTTAAAATAGCATGAAAAGTGATAAAGCAACCCAGAATATCATCAATAGAGGCATTTAAACGAAAGGATTAGCTTGTAAATCGTCCACAGTAGGAAATATAAACAAAATTATATTTATATAATCAAATTGTGACCGAAATTTGGTGTTATGTCCTTGTGGCCTAATGGATAAGGCGTCGGCCTCCGGAATATATTGGCGGGCGAGCCGAAGATTGTGGGTTCGAGTCCCATCAAGGACGTTATCTTTTTCAAAAAAAGTTCAATTTATTTTTTTTTTCTGCCTAAAATTGTATCCTGTAAGAAATGATGCATCAAGAGTTGGAATAAAACAAGAAAAGTAAAAATAAAGTGCCACGCACTGATATTTGGGTGTTATAATAGAAGTGGGGTGGGGGGGGGGGGGGGGGGGGGGCGCAGGAGGTGGGAAGTCTAAGGGAGGTGGGAAAAGAGTGAGACAAAGGTGGTGAGAACCGGAAGAAATAGGAAAGAATTTTACAACATTGCATAATATTCTGTAATAGAAAAAGCACAGATGGGCAAGAACTTGCAGGAAACAGTAAGTGGGAAGTTTTCAGATTCCCCTATCCCACACCCCAAGTGTCTGTTTCTTGGATATTTCTGAATTGATTGATTCAGTTTCACTTTTTAACGGGGCTGAACAAACTACTTTTAAAAAAGTTCACAGCTGAACTGGGGAGAAACTAAGTTTAGCGCCTCAAAATATTAAAGTATCTGGGTCACGCCTATTCCCCCATTTCAACGAATAGGTAAGGGCGATTTTCTGTTATGGAAAATTTTACCAATGCAGGAGATTCCCCAGCCAGGTACCCAGGTGTTCCCTTCCCGCTTACCCGATTTGGCGCGAAATTTCATGATGTCACCGAATGACACAGAGCAGCCGGCATGCAAACCTGTTCGCAGGTCCTTGCGTGTACTTCGCACTCGCTCGAGAAAGAGAACCCCAAGGGTTCCCTACCCTTGAGAAAATTATCAAGTTCTACGGACACCCTTTAGGTAACAAATATATTTTTTTTAGTTTACAGTGTGACTACTTGAAGCAGGCCAGTTTCAAGAAAAGTAACCAAATTATCAAAACGTTAAACAAAGGATGACGACCGTTGTTGTAAACTAACCAATTGTGTGGAAGCATACAGACAATAGTTCTTCAACAAAATTTAACACCAACAAAGTGAGGACCTCTTGTTTAACTTTTGATTGGTTACTTTTCTTCAAACTGCCCCGCTTCGAGTGGTTGCACTGTAATAATAATTTTATTTCTCCACCTTCGCAGCCATTCCTTTAACTCATCACTCCAAGACTCCTGATCATGGCCAAACAAATTCAAATTGTTACAATGTTTTATTACAATAAATTCATATATAATAATATTATTATTATTACATTGCACTTCGTCTTCATCAGATATTCATTATTTCATAGAAAACAAATAAAATTTATAAAACTGACTTAAGTTTAAAAAAATAGCCGTTAAGCCAAATTAATTCAAGTCATGAATCTTAATCTGAAACAAACATTATTCAATATAATTTGTTTTCATTACAATTTGTAAATACTGCAAATATATATTTATTTATTTTATTAGTTCATAGTCTCATTTTTGGTTAGTATCTTAAAAAACTGGCTTATGTGCACAGTTTATAGCACAAATATATAGTTATTATGCTTGTTGCACCTGCAGATCTATCATCCACAAAACGTTTTTGCGATAATCATTCTATTTATAGTAGTGTTTGAAGTTAATCCTAAAAACACTGTATTAATGACAACTGCACCAAAGTATAGTAGGATATGTATTCAGTGGCAGATCTAAAGAGCTTAACATGGTGGTAGCACTAGGCCTTTTTTCACAAAGGGAAGACCCGAATAAGCTGGGGCTCTCCTCTAGATCTGCCACGCCAGGTTTTGATCTAATTACAGTGGCGGATCTTGCGGAGGGAAAGTGAAAATACTTACGGCCCGAAAAAATTTTCAGGCCCCCACCTTATTACCCTGGGTGCCAGAGGTTATTATTTTTTAGAGCGGCGAAGCCGCGACAGCGAGGCGCAACGCGCTTCTTCGGTTTTCTTCTAACCGCCTTTGTGGTTTAACAGTCGATAACTGACCTCTGGAGCCAGGGTGCCACCTTATAAACAGGTCTGGATCTGCCACTGTTAATATAAATCTCGTTTGTGTAAAATGCAGAACTCCAACCGTCCAGTGTGGTGTTGTCCTGCTGTCGCAAATTTTGTTTGCCCATCACCACCTTTTGTGCATTCCACTATTCTCGTGGGTTATCTCTACTTTATTCCCTCGTTCATCAACCTGATCTTGCCCAATAATGTGCACTTATCACGTATATACTCTCGTTCCAACACTTTAACATACTAGTCATCAGTCTTAGTCCCTAACGAACAAGCCTGGTACAAAAACGTGTGCAAAGTCGTTTGAGACCCTCTAGTTCATAATAGGGAGGGCTTAAGCACAGACGTTTTTTTGAGCCCCACGGACAGGCACCAGGAAGTCAATATTTTCCCTCTTCTTTGGACTGCAGTATTTTTGACTGTTGGTCCATAACATCATGTTGTAAAATGCTATCGATGAAAGCTTTCCCATTCATTGGGTGGAGGTTGAAGCGCGCCAAACTCAAGAACATGTCGCTTCCATGTTGCCGTTCCGTTGGCTCCTCCAAAACGTTTTGTGCTTAAGCTCCCTATTTAACACGTAGACGGTTATTACACCACAGTAACTTATCTATAGCCTTATTAAACATTTTGGTAAGGATTGGTTCCAACATCATTACAACACCAGACCGCAACGACACAATAGAGGCGGTGATTTGTCAATTTGAGTGTCGTAACACCCAAAACCAAAACCAAGAACCAAAACCATAACACACACAAAACCTATAAATTCCATGATTGGTTTTTGGTTTAGCATGTGATGATTGGTTGAGGTATGTGGCACAAGTTTTTTAAAACCAATCACAGAACGTAGTAAAGCAAAACCAATTTCGTATTTATTAGCTTTCGATACGCAATTTGAAACCGCTCTAAGAAAGATTAATTTACAGACTTTCATTACTTTTTAGTGATACTGCACACCAGCTTTGTGGTTAGGTTAAGATGAGGCATAACCCTTACTAGGTCCGACTTCCACCGTTTCTCCTTGAAGTCCAGTCTCTCCATTTTCTTTCACCTGAAATAAGCTCGTCGTATGACCCTTACAAATTTAATTACAGTCAAAACACTAAACCTGCTATACTCTAAGACTTTCCCTAAACCAAACCAAAACACTTTGGCCTCTAACCCAAAATCTCCTGTTAGGCTTATAGTGGACTGTGACAACCACCGCAACTTTTGGACATAACCACGTAAAATAATGAAAGTCCAATAAAAAAGGAAATTATAATATACTACTAAACAATGATGATAGGATGCTGTTTTCAAAAGCCAATTTTGATTGGTTCCCTGCTCATGGTCTCAGA